TCTGCACTCAAAGCATGTTAAGGTCTGCATACTTCAGAGGGATGCTCATTTGTTCAAGCACCTTGCAACAACCACATAACTAAAATCACCATCAGCTGAGAGTGGAACAAGCATCTGTGCTAAATATAATTCCAGGTCTTAACCTCACATTCAGAGGCATTGGAGATGACAAGCTTTCTTTCAGAAATTCAGAGAGAAATTGTACATATTCCAAACCAGAATGTACTTGTTCAAAGCAGACTGTGGTCATGGCAGGGAGGAGATAAGAAGTTTTTTGTGCATCCAAACTCAACTTGGACTTCTTAGCACAATATTATCTCCCCGGAGGAATGGGGATATTGTTATTTGATTTTGTGAGGAAGGTTTGGTTTTGTTTTTGTTTGGTTGGTTTTTTTAAAACCTGCTTTGTGAGATGAAAAACTTAAAGAAACTTTCCAAACAAAAGAGCTTCACAAGCAGATTAAATGAATGTATTACTGTGAGTTATTAAAAGTCACAAATTTCTCAGTTTCATAGATCAAGGTTTCTTTCAAAAGCCAAACACTCCAACCTCTAAGAAGGAGGTTTTCTTCAAACTGCATTATGTGACACTGATTTTTTTTTTGCTTTAAATTTCTTACTTCAACAAATTTTTCTTCTAATTCATACAGAAATTTACTGTATTTACACAGTGATTCCCTCCACCCTATGATCCCATATTATCTATAATTTAACAAAACCAACCCCTCCTAAACTCCCACAGGCTTATCAAGCCCTTAGTCCACAGTTCAGTTGCAAGTTTCAGTTACAGATTCAGGTCACAGAAAAAAAATGCAAGTTTTGTTTCCTGAAGGAAATCTACAGGAATTACTGCTCCTCCCTGATTGCCTGCATGTCCACAAAATACAGATGGGTTCAGGGAACTTTCACATGGATAATGAAGCAGATATGGTCCCACACAGTGATAGGGAACACCCAGATACAGGACACAGACATAGACAGGGACTGCACAGACAACAACTGAAACCAGCACAGCAGGATAAAGTTGCTTTTTGCCCAAACTTCGGTTTGACTGCAGTTTTAATAATTCAAGACAAAGCATAAGGATCAGGGTAGACCAAAGAAAAGGTTACTGAGCGTTGAGGAACAGCCTCTACAGACTTCATAAACCTGGACAGATAGTGCTGAGACAGTGCATGAGACTTCGCTCACACTTCTGAAGTGCTCAGTTAAGTCAGTCTCCAACAAAATATTCCCTTTTTTTTTTTCTTTTTCTTTTTTTAAGTGTGCCAAGACATGGTACAGAAAAAGCCTGCAGTTTAGTTACCTATAGTTAACTATCCATATTTTTCCTATTTCAGGCTCTCAAACACTGAGCTGCCAGACAGCATCAGTGTGGATGGTGTTACTTGACCCACAGATCCTGCACAGGCAGCTCCAAGCCCATGATAACCAGATGGAAGCAGCGCAACCCTGGTCCTGTATCATCAGCTCTACCTGGTAGCGAAGGCACAGTAGTTATACCAGCTGATGGCGAATGAAAAACTAAACACACTAGAAACCTGGAAAGGGGATCTCCAAATGACTTCAGTGAGGAACAACAGGGTAGGAGGAAGTAAAAAATGGGAGTGAACAGAACCATGGAGCCCAAACTTTATTTGAGAGGTACTTTGCATAAGATATGGAGTGATGAAGGATGACCACATCCTGACATTCATGATGAATCCATCCAGTGATGACCATCCTGAAAACAAGCCTTTCCCATTCTGCATTTCCCAGTCTGTGAGATGGGCATTTGGGTTAATCCCAACCACCAGAAAGCAAGTCAGGCTTTTCTTTCCAACCACTGCCTCAAGAAGCCATTTCTGAGAAGTGAGAGCCTCTTTCTGCTACAGACAGTGAAGATCTGAAAGTCATGATGAAGAAAATTCTCAGATTTTAAGGGCATGACAACAAACCTGGAGCACAAAAGTGTATGGCAGCAATGGACATGTCCACTCAAGTTTTGGCAGAATTGCTCCCATGTGCATTAGAACTGAAACAGAAATGCTGAAGCAAGCAGGAATGTTCTGCTGAAAGGAACTCAGAGGAATATGGATACCGTTAGTTTGCCTATAAAGAAAGATATTCCTTACAAGTTAAGAGTGTTTCCAGTTAACACTTATCCATCAAGCCCAGGATTTCAAAAGATCTTCAAAAACCAGGACAACACAGCACATAAACTGGATATCAATCACATGAAAAATAATTCTGTTTCACTTAAAAGAATCTCTGCCCTTTTGAATTCTACCTACTGTATTTTTCTAAAACACCTCTTTCGATAAGAGCTTTTTCATATCTACATTGATATCCTCTACAGAAGCAAGTAATGGAAAGATGCAAACACTTTCCTCCCACTGTCATGACTGATATTCATTTACTTGCATCCTTCTAGACAAAAACCCAGAATATAATTTTAAAAAAATACACATTTAGGTTGAAAAATGCTGCATAGATAAGGTGACTTATTATATACTTAGAGTGGTGCATTTTCTCATCAACATTCTTTACCTTGTGCTTATATAAGGCCTCCCGCAGACATTTGGATTCACTGGAGTTTGGGAAAATGAAACAATACAAAATGAAGACTATAAACAACCATCATTGTCTCCCTTTATGAGCCTTTATGTTTGTTGTACAGTATCGGACTGTTTCCCATGTGCTACTGTTGACACTGAGTTTTCTGGAGCTGCAGTCTTCACAGGCACGCTGGAGCAGCCTAAAAGTAATCTGAAAGATATTTAATGCAGACGTTATCAAATTCTGGTATTTTTATGCTGGAACATGAAACACAGGCTTTTGACTCTGCTCATACTTCAGGTTTTCTGGAGCAAACCTGTTCCCTGCAGCTAAAACACAGATTGTCCACAAAGCAACTCAGTAACAAAGGTCAGGTCTTTGTGTCTGGTGTGATCTCAAATACCACCACATCTAAGTAAAGTACAAATTGACTCCATCAATCCTCTTCGTTTGTTCAGGTTAATTCTGCTGCTGCTCATGGTCTTCTACTAGTCTGAAAGTAACAGATATGCTTTGGCAGCTTGAGCTGGAGTCAACAGGATTCCTCATACTACCAAAATATCAGCTAAAATGCAGCAATAGGATAGTCTGGATAAAAAGAAGACCTGTGTGTGAGCAAAAAAGGCAATTAACTGAAAAAGGGCAGTGCCTTCAGAGTCCTCCACAGTGTGAAGTAACATCTGGAAAAAAAAAAAAAAAGAATCCATCCTTTACTTGATGGTGCAGGTGATTTAGTGAGTGAGTTTTGGTTAAATTCCCTTAATCTTTTTGTGTTTTATAAAGTAAAAAAAAAAAAATTATAAAAATCTCAGTCTCCATACAGAAGAGACATATCTACTTACATAATCCAGTCACAGATTATTAGGTAGCCAAATGGACTTTATGCTTTACTATCTTACAGTTACTTCTATAGGTTTTGTGTTAGGCAACATGAATCCAAGCTATCAACTATCTTATTGCAGTGAAAAAGCAAGGATTTTAAGCCAAAATAATAAACTAATGATTTAGTGGAACATTTAAAATCAGATATTTAAAATATAGTAAAATAGTAAAATGCATATACATTTATTTCTGTTTGACTAGACCCCAATTCAACTCTTTTTCAAAAATTCAAGTCTCTGCAAAGGAATACATATTTATCTTCAGTACTGTGTTCTACAATGGATTATTTTCATATTTGAAGAAACTGGAAAAAAAAAACCAAAAAACAAAAAACAACCTCATCCTTCCTTGCTTCCTTTTAATTTAAATCTCTTAGATATTCTTCCCAAATGAAAAATACTTTATTCCTCTTTTTACCCACCCTGTGTTTGTCATGAAGGATTACACAGGTAAGGGTAACTGGCTACTACAGGGTTGGAGGGCAGCTTTCCCTAAGACCTTCCACAAACACTCAAACTCAAAACCTTTTAACAATAACAAAATAGACTTGCTCTTTTACATTTAATTCTTTTTACTGTTATTGAAAAAGGCAAGTGAGAAGTCTGGTCTGTTCAAAACCATATTTAAGAATACACAGTGCTAAACAGGCATATTCTTGAGTTTCAAATCAAAGTGGAACAGGTGCAAAATGTAAAACCTTTTAAGATTTATCCTCTCTCCCATTTCCTCATAAGCATACCTTTTCCTTGAAGAGTGATATTTTGCACATCAACAGTTTCAGACCTAAAAATAATTCCTGAGTAGTATTTCACTTTTAAAAGCTCAATATTCTTTTTGAAAAAAAGAAAAAAAAAGAGAAAAAAAAAAAGAAAAAAAAGAATTTGATAAAATAAATGGACAGTTTGAAAAAGCATGAAGCACTGCAACACTGAAAACAGAAGAGAACATTCCTAAACACATTTTGAATTGAAGATCACACTCTGGTCTCTCTATATTGTGATCCAGTGTCTCTCAAGAGTGAACTGAATTTAAGACTGATATGCACTAAGGTTGAACTCTGCCATTTCTTGCACATGAGGTGCCTACATTTATGCCCACTGCATTTCTAGGTGGTCCTTCCCTTCTTCTGTGGCCTTTTATTAGTAAATATTCAAATAAACACCACTTGAAAGCCTGTAAGGAAAAGATGTGCCGCTCCAATAAAAACATACAAATAAATATTCACATATTTTACTGATCTAACACAAAACGTTCTCTATAAAGAGTAGGAATCAAAATAGTGTCAGGTAACAGGATTACCTCAGATGCATTAAATCTCTTTTTCCACAAAATAATTAAGTTTCTTCATTAAAACCAGACAGTATTTCAGTTCTACAAAAGAAGCCCAATAGATTTTTTTTTCCACTTCCAATAGAAATTCAATTAGGACAGATAAAAAGATTTCTGAGATATTTTGTTGCAACAATAGCAACCCATTTCAAGTAAGGAATTAATGTTAAGGTTTTATTTCTGGTCACTTACATGACTAAAATACCAATTAAAAATTGATTAATCCTTAAGCTTAATAAATTCCATTTTTAAAAACCTTTATTTCCTCCACTTTAATCAATTTCTAGAAATTTTGCTCAGAGGGTGTAATATATTTCTAATGAAAATAGTTTTAAATTTTTAACTCTTTTTTTTTTTTTTTCTGAGATTAGAAGGAAGGTGCCATTATTGTTTTGCTTCAGAAGCCAGTCCCTAATATTAGAAAAGACTTGGCATGGCCATTCACACACACACAAGTGTTCAGGTGCAGTATCATACAGATCAGTGAAGAATATACAAAAAACCATAGTGTATAATACTGTGACAGTTTTTCAATATATTCACATACAGTAATCTCCGACTACCTGTATCTAAACTGGCCATAAATCCTGAAGAACCTTGTCTATAAAATTGAGTAACCCATCAATATACCGTATCTCTTCTAAAAATACCCGTATTTTACAGTAATATACAAGGTATCTGCTTGCAAACACAGAAGTAGCCATAAATAAAACTTTATTCTTTCATTTCATTTACAAGCTACCAAGTACCATGTATTTACACAGCACTGGACACTTAAAAGTAGTTGCAGTCACAAAATGATCCCGACAGCTGTTGATAAAGTAAAAGGATCTTAAGATAAAAGCAAAGTAATACTGTAACAGATAAATGGCAAAAAAGCAGTTTTGCCATAATGATCAGACTTGCATGTTGCATCAATTCTGGTTGAAACGACTGAGCGCCATGCGATTCTCAGCTTTAATCGTTTGCAGTCTGGCTAAAGTTTGGACAGTCATTTCTCTTTTGCAGTTATTAAAATAAAAAAAGTTAAAAACTATAGCAGCAACAAGCAAACCCTGTGACAGGAAGGCAAGGTTTAAGAACTAAAAAAGTTTATACAATGTGCTTAGGAAGGTCGCAGAATTTATCTTCCATCGGCTGGAGTTCGACTGAGTGACAACATGATTCGGGCGTATCTTTCACACAGTTCATGTGTGGAGTAGGAGGGTAACTTTGGCGGGTCATTGAAACCTTTAATCTCTGTAGAACAATCTAGCAGTTTTGGCAGGAAATCTGTCAGCTTTTCTTGCAAGTTGGCTGCAAATCAAGTGAGAAAAACAAATGTAAGCATGTGGAATTCTCTCTTTTCTGCCCAATGTTGACTTGTTTTTTTTTTTTTAAATGGTGGGTGGGAAGAAAAGGAGTTTCACTTGGAATAATCCACATTCTACGGATCTACCAGCAATAACTAGGAGATACCAATTCCTATTATAGTAAAGATGTTGATATAAATGCCCCTTCAGAGGGTCTAACACTGCAAATATTTTTCCATTCAAGAAGCATGTTTCCCTTAAGGTCTGATACCTCAGCACAATATATGGAAAAACTTTTTATTTAAATGTGTACAGGATTATTCAAAACCCAGGGTAGCTCAAAAAACATTATCAAGACACAAAATATATAGGTTCAATTCCAGTCACCAGAAACATCATATTTATAAAAAAGGTGCACGATGGCCTTTAACCTTAACGAATAAATGACTTACGTTCCATTTCTTGTCCAAGATACGAACACCAACGGTTTCTCATATCTTCCACAGCAACAATATCTTTCTCTTCCATTTCATCCACCAGTAGTAATGGCAAACACGGGACAATAAGCTCATTCATGATGATCAGGCCATTATTCACTTCCTGATCATCTCCCGATTCAAACAGTGCTGCAGCATGTTCGTTTAGTTTCTTCATAAGCCACCACAAAAAAGGAAAGCCTTTAAGTATAAAGCATTTTACATTCTGCCTTGCATCAGTTTTATCAGTCTGTTTTGTTCCTACAAAATTACCTGGTAATTTGTATTAACCACAGCTGTGTTTTAACATTTACAGCAATGATATATAAACACTAATAATCCACTTGATCTTGTGCCGTTCCTGAAGCTACTTCATTTCCTACCTGCCATCTCCAACTTTGCAGTTGTTCTTTTTAAGACTGAGGTTTAATCACCTGCTTTTATTTTGTCAATATTGTTAAAGGTGACGTAACAGGGAACAAATCCCTCGCTTCAGGCAAGACATCATCGCTGACTCCTTTTGCAATATTTGGCTCCTCGTCAAACTATGTAACACAGTGAGTCTGCTCCCCAGTGCTGTCAACCATTGCTCCTACCTAGCCCAGATATGGTGGCAGTGACCACACTATTTACAATCATAAATGTAATCAATCAAATATGACTGATTACTCAAAAAAAAAAAAAAAAAAAGGGAAATAATGTTTTCCTTTTAATTTTTGCTATTTTTGTTCCCTGTACAGGAGTCTAACATTAAATTATTAATGGAGGGAGGTTCTGCTTTTGTTGTACATGATAGCAACACTTTTCTACTAATTAATTTAATTAAAGCTATGCAGCAAACTCAACTTTTTGAAAAACACATACTTGACCCTTCACTTACTAGCAAACATTCTCGTCTGTAGTGAGATATCAGCTCTTCATCATGCCCTCTGTACGGGCCTTTGGACAAGAGTTCTTTGTTATTCTGGTAAGCATAGATAAGGTAGAGCAAGGCTTCCATATAGCTGAAGTGAAGAAACAAAAGCATTAGATGCAGCATCAAGGTACCACCTGCTTCAAGGTAACTTCAAGGATAGGTAACTCCCCTTGTTTTGTGTCTAGTCCACCCCTACCCACCAATCTCTTCACAATGTTTTTTTCTACCACACAGTTTTGTTGTTTACACACATAAACCCAAATTATTTTATTATCAGGTTAGATCATTGCACATGAAATCTAATCCAAAGCTGAATGAAACCAATGGGTTATCATTTCACTCACTTCAAAACCAGCTCTGGATGGGGCCTCGAGTATACATGAAAATTTACTGTGCATTTATGTCACATTAGGTTTGAGGTTCTGTTGCCATAAATCTCTTAATAGCATTCTGCACCTCAGCAAGAATCAAAGCTGTCACCTTATTTCCAAAACATAAACTGTGAATTTTTAAGCTTCACTAACTTTAAGTTCTTCCAAATTACTGGAATCTAATGTGATGGAAGAAGGCACAACAGCACTTCAAAAGCAGAAGTGCTGCTAGACTGTTGATAGTTCTGTCTTTAATCTAAATGCAGAAGATAAATTCAAGCCTGATTGGTAGAGAGGGAGTAAGAGAGGACTCAAAAACCTAACAGTTAGTAATTGACAGAGATCTCTTCATGTACAGATTAACAATCTCCCTTCACACTGCACACACCATTTCCAGCAGAAACCTGAAATGGTTAATTCTCTGACTTACGACAGGCACTGAAAGCAGCTCAGGCAGCTACCCTAAAAACAAGCCCTTTGATATCTCACTTTTATTCAAATGTAAAAAAAAAAAAATCAAGGAAGAGAAATTTCCTAAGGCAGTGGTTAGAGGAAAGGTATATTGTGCACTCACTCACTAGTGAGAATGTGAGATGAGGGTTAACGTTGAAATTACCAAAACCAAACCATCAAACCACTGAAAAAGGCTGAAACTTCTGAAACTACACCAAACTCCTGAAAACTGCTGTTCAGCACAGAGCAGAAACCTGTGCTTTTCTCCCTCCCCCACAGCACGATCACAACATATTACGGCAAGAAGAGAATTAGTGCAAACACTTGTATTTTACAGTTAGAGTCCCAGTGCCAAGGAACCTGAAGATCTTCCATTCCTAATTACAAGCTCAGAGCATAAATGAAGTACAGGGGTAACAAGGAGGGTTCCTGTAAGCCACACCGATGCCTGTGTTGCTTCCTTAGGGGATGAAGCAACATCCCCAGAGTGTTTATTTTCCAAGTAAGCCAGGCAATCTTCTGACTAACCTTTTTGCACAAAAACTGTTTAAGACTGCCAAGGTAGCATATTGCAATTTAGATTATTAATTAATGTACCATTTATTATATGCTAGCAACCAGAAGACAAATAAAGACTATGGGCTCATTGTGTTTGCCACTATACAAAAACATATCTTGTCACAAAGGCAAGGCAGTCTTTTCCAATCAATTTTTCTGGTTTGTTAGAGGCCTTTCTTTTTCAGGAGGATACAGGACAAGAAAGAATTATGAAGCAATTTACTACACAACTAAGAGACAAAGAATTAAATTTGATTCCCACTATAACTTAGCTTACCTACCGTTCATCAGTGATGGACTAAAGAATTGTTTCCAAAATCAAAAATTCCTATCTCATGTGAATGCTCAATTTTCACACCACAGATGTCAGCCACTGGATATTCTGCAACTAACCACTTCATTCCTTTGGCTGGGCATGGGAGGATGAGGTACTTTTGAACAATTCTGGTTTGAGACATTTATTTTCCATTCTCATTGAGGGATTCTCTCATGAGAATTGATTAATTCTCATTTTGAGGCATTTATACCGTAATCACCATCCTTGTAGCATGATCAGAATAAATTTTAGCTGCAGTGCATTCAGTACATAAATGTCACCAATTTTATACAGTCACAATTCCTGACTTGATTCAAAAAGAGAAGGGAATGAATCACCATGGAGTTAAGGACAATCAGCTACAACTACGACAGCTATGCATGATAGTTTCTCTCAAATATGTTCTGCTTTCCTGAGCTTTAGAGCCTGAGACAGGTGGAGTTTTGGCTCAGCAGGCAAAAACTTTCAGTGGGAAGACCCAATAAAAAGGCAGGTAAGACAGGACTTGACTAATTGTGATTGCTGATGAAAGCATATAATTGTATGTGCATGTCTGGTGCCAGAGAAAGAAGATTTTTATGGCTGAGGGATACCCAGAGAACTTAAGATTGGGAGAGAAGGAAGAGTAAGGGAGCACGTGAAGGCTGCTCTGAAAAGTATGCATGGCTTGGTAAGAGATTGGAAATGGAGATTAAGGATATGAAGATGTGGGAAGCTCTGAGGTAAATGCAAGACTGAAGACATTAACAGACTGAATACATGCCTAACTGAAATTAATAATACAATAAACATTTCCTAATTTAAAAAATAGCTTTACTTATCAATGTTACATTTTGCCTTTATTTCACTCTACATTTGAGTTCCATACTAACACTTACCTCTTTTTTTGGAAAAACTCCAATCCTACCATGAGAAACATGGTTGTTTCCTTGAAGTGTCTATAGTCTTGATGCCATCTCTGCATATAAAAAAGGGTAAATACAATTTCATCCACCCATATCAAATTTTTTTTTTTTTCTTTTACACAAACACAACCCCTTCCACTTTTAGTGCTGAATACTCACAGTAAATGCTAAGGACCCTTAGGGGGTTTGCACATGTGAAAAGTCCATGTGAAAATTCTTAAATATCTGAAACATTTCTAGATAAGGCTATTCTTACAGAAGGCATTACTATCTGAAAGGAACACAAAGCATCTTTGGAGAACCACAGTTAGAATTTTATGAGATCCCATTTTTCTTCCCTATACTACATTTAGCTATTTACTCAGGAAGTGTCAGAAAGCTTTTTCATACACTAAATATTAAGCTTAAATTTCAGTAAAAGAGTGACACAGAAAAAGCCTGAGCACTTTACATGGCAAAAAAACCCAAATGCAACTCAGACTGTGGAGATGTTGGTACTGGAGCAGAACATTTATCTTACTGCCTCACCATTTATACAAACTGACTCCTGGTCCACTTTACAGGTAAATGCTCCAAGTGACAAAGGCACTTTTACTACAGTAGGTTAGATGCCAACTGTCAATTGTGCATTAAAGATAAAACAGGGGACAGCACACCATAGGACACAGCCTTTTACAGATTCCACAGAAAGAGCTTGAGAAAGGGTCCATAAAATGCCAACTCAGTATACAAGACTAATACTGACACAGTCTATGGAGAAACCACCATCTGCCTCTGGAGCTAAAAAAGGGGCACATCTGCAGGGGAAGAGAAGACACCCCTAATGGTTTATTCACTCTGTGCATTGTCATTCTGAAAATGGTAAAACGGTGATCCCTGAACAGCCAAAAATATGAAACAGAAATGCCACTCTAATGGCCCTTTCCAATCACAGGCTACAGAGGGCACATGTAATATGAGAGCATCTACTGTAGGTCCTGGACACGTTAATGAGAAGTGACAAATATTTTTCATTTGGTTTGTGAGGGAATGATTACTCCCACAGTCCTCCTAAACAAGTTGTTTGGACCTAACAGCACAATTAGGTCTAAGTGGTGCACTGTTAAGAGGTCTAAATGAATATTATTACATAGAATTGAAGCTGTTGCTGTAAAAGCAGCTACAGGCTTAGCTTTAAACATGAGATGAATTATTTTTTTGCAAATATAATCACAATTATTTAATGTCCAAGATCTGCTCTTACTTTCTCTCCAAGTTTTACACAGCAGGAAACATTAAGTGCATAAGCTGATTATGGTCTTGGTAAACAGAAGAATCTGCTGCTCATAAGAAAATGAAAATGGCCACAGAGACAGCTGGAAGAAAAGCACAAATGTGGCTGTGCCTGCTACCCAGTTCTCAAGATGAGTAAGGCTGGGCTTAGGCCACTCTCACTCCTTCACTGCCAGCTCTGTCTGCCTAGAGAAAGCCAGTTGGCTCATATGGTGATAAGCTACAAAATACTGTTACTGATGTCAAGACACGTTAACGAACTAAGGACAGACTCCAATCTGACATTTATTTATGGCTCAAATGTTGGAATTACAGATGTGGAAAAAAGAGCTTTAGACCAACAGCAGCCTCTGGAGAAACAAATGATCTTTCAATAATGGGTTTTAACTTCTCAGTGCAAGATAAGTGGAAATTTGTGAAGACAAAATTCAGCTTACTGATAACCATTTCACACTGAAACTTACTTTAAAGCACAAGAAATACTGACCTCGTATTCTTCCATGTTTACTTCATCTGGCTTTATCATTTCAAGTTTGGCTTGAGCAACTTTCATTATGTTACGGCACCTTACAAAAAACAACAAGAAATCATGAAATATTACTGGAAATTCACCCAGGGTATTATCCATACAAGACAGCAGTTTCAAACAGTATGAGCCACAGTCTTATGCAAACCAGTATGAAAATGCTACGCATTTTTATTATGCATGGTATAATCAGCATAATTTTGAAGTAGGTGTGATGGAGGCCTGTGCTATTTAAAGGATTGCTTCTTGTGTTACTTTGCTAAATTGCCACATTGCTCAGTATTTCTTTTTAAAAGTTCAGATGGCTTGGAACACCCCAACATTTACTTTGCAGAAGCTTAGAAGACTAGTCACTACACAGAAATCAGACTAATGTTTTCTAACTTGTAATTGGTCTATTTCTATAATTAAGTAGACAGAATCTTGAGTGAAATACAGACATTATGTGCCCTGCTTTCAAGTCAGTTGCTCACTTAGCTTGTAAGGCTTTGCTGTCTACTGCTGGCTTTCAGGGCAGTGAGGAAATGCACAGTGAAAGAAGGTACAGAAATCTGTGTGCAAAATTATGAACAACACTAGGTATTTCTCCTTATTTTATATGAATAGAAACCCAACTTCTCACTTATCTTTATAAAAATCTCTATTAAAAAAGTATGTTTTACCAAGTAAAACTTGCAAGCTATTAACTAGGAGGCAGAACCACTTGAAGCCACTGGCCTTCCCTCTGTTACAGGCAGGAAGGGGTGTCTCCACACACCAGAGACCACTCGTGAGCACAGGAAATGAGAGGTGCAGATCTTATTACCTCTCATCAAAGCTCAGATTGTGATCTCCAAACTGTTCCAGTAGCGTTCTCTCAATTATCTTCTTTGGTGCCTGGTTTTGGATGAAGTAAACAATGGCATGACGCAGACGATAATCACATTCAGGTGGTGGATCTTCCTGGGCTAATTTTAGTAATCGTGTGTATTCTAATTTAATTGCCTACATAATTTAAAAAAGAAGAAGAAGAAGAAAAAAAAGGATGTTATTCCTTCTGGCTTTTAACTCAAGCATCACAAACACTAACAAGACAATTCACAGCATTTTGCCTATAAAATATTTTTTTTAACAGTTCAATAGTTCACCCTTCTAAGAAGTCTAAACTACATTTTTAAAAAGCAAGCAAAAAAAAAAAAAATAAACACCAAAAAAAACCCCCAGACAAATTGTCAAGTTGTTCTTTTCTTCCGAATTACGCCTGTCAAAATCCCAGGTAAAACTTTACTTCAAATGCAGATCCAATCCTGTGCTATGGCTCCCCGAGAGAAGATTTATCCAATCCTCAGAGGTTTCTTTAAGCATTTACAATCCAAAGCTAACATAAGATTTCCAACACTTTACTTAAAGAAATTTCCTGAAGATTCATAAGGTAAAAAAGGTACCTCTAATATATGGTTAAAATGCAAATACATGAATAAAATAAAATCTGGGAAGTTTAGTGAACATGTGTGATTTTGGAAACACTGAGAATGAGAATGTCTCTCAACAAAAATAAAATTATAGGATTTATAAAGAAAATAATAATTCAATATGAACAGTATTAGCCTCCTATAGGGCAGGATGGAGCCCTCACTGAATGCTTTAGGTCAACTTTAGAGGTCATCAGGAGTGTTAACGTTTCCAGATACGCTATCACATTAGATTTTAATGAACATAGTTTGTTCTGTTCATTAGATCTCATTCACTGAAAATATACAGCAGGAACAAAACCAACCAGAGAAATAATTGGAAAAATGGTGACAAATGTTAACACGTTCCATAATTTATCTCTCAAAACAGGGAGGTGATCAGGTTGTTTGCTAACACATCAGCAAAGTTTCAATACAACTTATGCACAAAGTAAAGCTCCAAAGCAATCAGAAAAAAAATCCCACAGTGCTGTTCAATATTTCAAACTCCTTTATGTTGTAATACCTGGCAGTAACAGGTAACTGTCAGAAATTTGGGCTCCCATCCTCTACTAGTACCTATTTTGTTTCAGGACTAAACAAGTGGGTAGGATAATAATCACACAGGCTAAAACACAGAGCATGTGGTGAACTTTAAAACTGAAGAGATTGTTCAGCATCAATATCTTTAAATACTTGTATGCATCACCGTTAAAAAAGGAAGTTTGGGAGAACATAGATGCCAAAAGCCACAGATTGAGTTTCTATTATCTTACATCACAAGTTCTACTACTAGAAAGCCAGCAAGGATAACAGTTAAACCCCTGTTTATTGAGGTAAGCCAGAAGCAAACAGAAATTGCTATTAAGACATTTAATTTTTCATATAATTACTGAGAAGTAGGAAAAAGTGCAAATGCAAAGCCTCTATTTTTATATTCATATTTTAAATAATATGGTATAATACAGGTTCAGAAACCCTATGTACAATGAAAAAGTAACACTTTCTTTACAAAAAATACAGGAAAAAGGGACGGCAGAAAAAAAGTATCACAGCAAACATTCTGCAAAGGCTGTCGATAAACTTTAAAGGGGGATAATTGGAAGAGGTCATTGATCAAGAAATATCTGAATCTTAGTCATGTCTTAAGCCTGAGATCTAGAGTGGGAACGAAACCTTGGCAGTTGACCCACATCAAAGGGGTTTCACCTGAGTTACACCAAAACAAAGATACAGAAAACACCCAAAATTTTCTGAAACCACTGATTTCATAAAAAACAACCACAAAGAAACACAGAGCACAACAGCATTAAAAGATATAGAAGCTTATTTACAACAAGTTTATGGAGAAATGTGAGATTTCATCTGATAAATCTCAAAACCTGAATTTTGTTTCTAAGGAGAATCACTCCATCTACAGATGTTCATGCTAATTCATTCCTTGAAAATTAATCCTGTTCCATCTCTTCTAAGCCAAATGAGTAAGGAAAGTTTTCTACTTTCCAACAATTTAGTGTCAAAACATTTTCTACCTCGGAAACAAATTCTGTCCCCATGAAGCAAAAGTTTTTAAGCACTCAGAATTAGAGACTGAAAAACACTGCAACTGTGTTTTGTCTTGATAACTCTGAAGCACTAAACATTTCAGTTTTAAAACCATTAAAACACCCTCCATATTAAAAAAAATAATTAGGTATAATTAAACTTTCTGGTAAGGAGTGATTTGAACAAATGCGGGTAGGTTTTTTGAGCTTAAAAAAAATTAAAAAATACGGACATACTTTCATTAAGTAGTAAGTTTGAAAAATAAAACAAAAAATAATCAGCACTGAATCCCATACAAACCCCATTTCACTCAACAGAGGCTATGGCACGTGTCTCTCCATTCCCTGAGGGCAGGCACAGGTAAGAGAGACAACCCTGCCAACATATGTTATGGCCATAACCCCTCTCTAAGTGTCCATTACAAACCCCCACACAAACAGACAAACAAACCAACCCATGAGATTGCCACTGCCTTACCAAGAGGCTGGAGAACTTTTCGGTGGCGGTGGCAGAGTTTTTTGTTTGTTTGGCTGTTGTTTGTTTGGGGGGTTTTGACAATTTCTTTTAAGGAAACTACATCGTAACAGTTAAGAAAAAAACAGGCTCAGTGATAGGCAAGAAACTTCTTCCTCCCCTCCAGATCACATTTGAGAGGATTTTACGTCATGTCAAAGTAATTCTCTTTCTAATATCCTGAAAATTCAAAAGACTATGAGCCAAAAGTGCTCAGAAGTTTGTGTATTTAGGAAAACTAACAAATTTTTATATCTGGCATCATTGTGAAGAGCAATAACCATAACAAGCCTAATGTCTAATACCCAGTAATAAAAAAACTTATAATAAATAGTATTGACACCCATGCAGTTACACAAAAGAAAGTAATGTAGATTTATTAAGAATCTTTTAAGGAGTAGTAAACAAGAACATCTCTTTAGAATAAAAAACAAATGATTAAACACTAATTTCCCTGGGTAAAAAACTTTGACGTCCCAAACAGTCAAGCAAAGGCATGGGGTTCGTTACTAAAAAAAAAAAAAAAAAAATAAAGTGGGGGAAGGGGAATACATATTCTTATTGATTACACATCTAGGTTTCATATTACTATTTTTTTCCTCACTACTATTACTAGAAAGTTAAAATGCAGAAAGGTATATAAGCTACTGATATTAACAGGGCAAATATCCGTCTCTTTTTCAAGGGAGTAATATGGATGACTGATATAGACAAATACATATAGATGCTGGAAAAGACTTTAAGCACATCAAAGGGTGGAGGGAATAGCATATCTAACAAGAAAAGTCAGAGGAGAACAAGTTGAAAATGTTAGTTGTACCTTAAAGAACCCTGCTTCTGGCCCACACCTGTCATAAACATTCCTGGCTTTACCTATAGCCATGATAATACCTTGCATGTTCGGGGTCAGCATGACCTGCCACAAGGGATTTAAGGTAAAAGTTTTGAATGATTAATATTTAAATGACCAAATTCAATATGCTTTTACTCTCATGCAAGATAAAAGCAACTTAAGGCATGCATACACTGAAATGCTACAGTTCAATACAGATCAGGTGTGCATATTCTGCAAATCAAATCATGGCATGTGTATATAGTTTTACTGTAACAATATTAAAGGAATCTTATTACAAAAAAGAAAGAAGAAAACTGTGTTCAAAAAAGTTACATGGTCCAAACTTCCCAGGAAAGAACATGCATTATTTGGCATTAGTATCCAGCAGAAACTGCACACTGAGTGAGTGCTAACCATGGCCAAAGGATTTTAAAAAAGTTTTAAGTAGAAAAATCATCCAATCACACTGCACTGAAACCACAGTGAACCACACTGCCTGTTTTTTATGCATATTTCAACATCAAAATCAGAGACTGATTGCTGCAAATGCAATTGCTTCCTGAAGCATTTGCAGACAAATTCTTAAACATCAAACCCATAACAACTAACGAACACAAAGCCAAACATAAGACAGATATCTCACAGCTATTCACATCAGTTACATACACCTTGATACACGTAGGTTACTCTGAAAAGCCTTTCTCCTTTGTTAACTGTGAGCAAAGAAAAACTCTCCCTCTCTCCTTGGTATAGCTGGCACAGCAACTGGCACAGCAAGAAAAGATGAAGAACCTTAAACTCCCTGCAGGAGTTTCCCACACATAAAAACATTTTTTTTTTTAAAAGTGAATACACTTACAAAATGAACAGGGAAATAGTCAATAAAGTTTTTCTCTAGAAAGACAATGGCATGGGGACAACAGTGGAAAAAAAAGAAGGAAAAAAAAAACAACAAAAAAAAGCAGGTCACTTTATGAGGTTTCCTCCTCTTGTCTTTAAAGGTGGAGACTACACATCTGTGAGAAGCCAAACTCAGTGTGATGATGTCAATTAAATCATTTTATTCCCCACCTCATATTCCCAGTTACAACTGATCACAATTCCAGGACAGAATGACCTGAAATATCCATTTGCCTAGGGAACATAAAAGCTCCCCAGAGCCTCTGAAGAACACCTGCTTAGACACCTGAGAATATGGGCTGTCCCAGCACTAACCCCAACCAAAACATTCACAGAGCAGGCAGTGTCAAGACAGGGCAGTTTAATGACCTGGCAATGTTCCTTTTTACTGCTAAAAAATAACGTTTCTCAGGATGACAACGGGCCTCTCATCTATTCCTCAAGTAGTACCAGGTATGTGCACCACCCTGGGCCTGACCTCAAAAAAAGACTTTTTTTTCTTTTTTTTTTTTTTTTTTTTAAGCTTTGCAGGAGTCAGCCCCACCAGCCACATCAGTTTCAGGTTATTTCCACGGGTAATTTAATCCCCAAAGCCTGAAAAGCTTAACCTTGGCAAATAAGAGATCAGACTTGAACATTGGCTTTTTTTGGACTGACACAGAAGCACAAACATTAAGAACATCACTCCCTGTCCTGTCACTTTTTAAATAATGGAGCAATGTGCAGTCTATCACCAGCATTTTGAAGGCTACCTGGCCTAACACAAACATTCAACTTCCACAGCTGAAAAGACAAATACACCTCCAGTGTAAATGGTACCATGCAAAGCGTGCCCAATTAGAGTAGGTAGTGCCTTCCTTTCATATTTCATTACAAATTAATATTGTTAAGATTACAAATCGCTAAGCATTTAGTTTTGCAGAAATCTGTTAAGTGTCACTATGTGCAAACATGCCAAAACTTCTCATCAGGCAGCACAAGAAAGCACCGAGGAGGAGCGGTGCACACAACCGCAGTCAAATGTACCTCATCGTCATAACCCCCCTCCTCTGACTCAATCACAAAAGTCCCTACATCAGGAATCGCCACCTCTACAACTCGCTGGTTAGGAGCTGGTGGAGCTGGGGCATTATCAGAGCTCTGCAGAAGAAAACCATTATCAGTATGTGTTTGGGGAAAATAAAAAAGAGTAATTATCAGAAAATACAGAAAATTAAGGAGAGACGCAAACTGGCAGGCTCATCTACTACAGTGACGTGCACTGCTGAAATTCTGAAAAAGTTAAGAAACTGAAAATCTAAGTGATATTTTTAAGCAGTACATTTTAATGTTAAGCCCTCTTTATTAAAAGTACTTCATTCATTCTTTAATCACTAATTATAGCTTTACAGGTTAGGATACCGATTTTGCAACTCTTAACATCTGTTACAGATAGATCTCAGGCAGCTGGCAAAGGATGGGTCTATGAATCACCACTACTTAATACATTTCATCCCAAAATTACTGAATGTATCATAGAGCCATCATAGAGAATGGTTTGGGTTGGAAGGGACTTTAAGAACATCTAACTCTAAGGATGTCACCCACTAAATCAGGTTGCTCGGAGCCCCTCCAACCTGGTCTTGAACAGTGTCAGGCCAGATAATTCATATCTGAAATACCTCCTGAATTCACACTAAAGGATGGAAACAAGTCAAAGGCTATAATTTCCTGATGCTCTGGGGAAAGAAAAACCAACCAACCTCTAACAATCAAGATATTTTAAAGAATATTTAAAGGTACATTACATTCAACAGGTTTATTTTTCTCGAAGAGTAATTAAAAAGTAAATCAGAGGAAGATGTTGCTAGTCACTGAAATTCTTGTTATGTTAAAATGAGTTTTAAACAAAAATAGACACAAATCTCAGCTTTTATGGTCTATCACTGAGTAACAGGCAGTTACAACATTTGCAGAACTTAAACCTTGATTCTCATCTAAGCAATCACAGAGTACCATTCTATTTCTGCAACTATAACAATAGCCTCATTTTTTAACAAAGATTCCAGAAACATACACAGTTATCTATTTACACCCAACACTGTATAAATACAAAGGAAAACCGTGCAATAAGAGGGCAGAAAAAAAAAAAGGCAAAAGGGCAGAAAATGGACAAAATGAACATGAGATGAATAACCCACAATCCTGTAGGTTACATATTCTGATGTTGGTTTTCCTTCTTTTAAAAATGGAGAAACAAAAAGAGGAAGAATAGAATATATGGCTGCATGTCTGAATGCATGTGGAAGTAGAATAATTAGAAAGCACGCTGATACACTGAGAAGAAAGCACAATTTCACTAAGTGAAATTTGGATATACAGAGAACTTTTAAACTTTTAAACATTAACAACTTAGTACCTTCAGATTAGCTAGAAATTTGCTTTAGATTATAACAGTTGAAGTACAGTAGTTTCTAAATAAAAGAGTTTGCATGGTTTGGCTTTTTTTTTTTGTTTATATTTTTTAAGAGCCATCCATCTTGCTGCAGGGAAAATATTGGAGTAAGACAACCTGCATCTGCCTCACCAAGCCTATCATGGTGTCCCCATGTGGCTCCTCAACCACAGCTCTGTGAAGCCCTAAGGCTCACCACTGTGCAAGGTGTCATTATCCTGAACTAAAACACTTGATCCATGGAATAAAGTCTGTAAGACTCTTTCACATCCCACTGGGATGGATGCCCACAAACCCTAGAAAAATGACAGCATTAGGAAAAAAAAAAAATCAGAGATACAATAGCCTAAAGCATTAGTGGCAGAGCATATTTTCATCCAGGGTTAGATAAATTTCCCTGTTAACTCTGATTTCAGTTTAGCAGAGAAAGTGTGTTTCCCTGCTTTCCTGACACCACGGGAGGGAGGAGCGGAAAACACAGCAGGTCAACAAGTTGTCAACCACTTTCAAAGACTTTAAGAGGAGTTTCCTGCTGGCCCCAAAGATATCTATGGCTAGATCTGCTGCTGTTTAATGAGGGTTCATACCTGAACCATCTGCTTCAAATTCTGCAGAGATCTAAGCTGTTCATATCTCCAGTGGTCTCTAGGGGTGATTAAGGAAACTATACTGTACAGACATTTCTTATGTCTGTATCCGTAAGGATAAGTTTCAAGACAGAGGTATGTATTGTTTTAATGGCACTTGGTTTTGTTATAGAGAAGCAAAAAATATAATTGCTGGAAGAAAAAAATGTTAAATATTAGTTTCATTAATAACCCATAAAATAGGTAATGTCCCATTCCTCTTAGTATCTTTTGTATGAAATGAAAACAGAATCACCCAACACTTATTCTTATCACCATTTAAAGTTAATATATGCATCCTATGAATCACAAAAAGTGCATTAAAGCTACAGGATATTGCTGAAAAAACCCTTATTTTGAAAGCTATATTAACTTCCAGAGGTCTTTCAATTATAATCTTATATTTCACATACAAAACCCTCAATATCTAAAGTAGTATTTTTCAAGTCTTTTACATGGACTGTCAATATTTTCTCCTCAAAAATACACAGAACCATCTGATATTTTTAGAAGACAGTGGCCACAAACATCTGATTTTAATCTGAACAATATGCTGTACTCTTGACAAGCACTTGAATCTGATAGAGAACTTGTATTTAGTATTTCTTTTTTGCACTACATTCATTACTGCTGTACACACGTTCTGAATGGACTTCAGTGTTGGACGATCCCTGAAGAAAGACCAATTTTAGTTCAAAGTTTCCAGACACACACCCTTTAATCAGCTTTTATAAATTCTATTTGCAAAATAAAAGCAAAAGAAGTATTTCAAGCTTCAAAATATCCTCACCGTATCCATTATAGCTTCTGGACCTCTATCTTCTTGTTCAGCTAAAGCTTTATTGATTGCTTGTACAGAATCTTCTTTTAAGTGCTTTGAAATGTCAGTTCTTGATGGCTGTTCTAAATATTCTGGTTCTCCTGCTTGAACTTAGTGACAGAAATAAGATAACAATTTTGTGTGTTAACATCAGCGTGAATTTTGAATTGATTAGTTTTTATTTGGATCACATAGATAAGGTAACCCCACAGAAAATGCAGGGTAGGTCACACAACTCACAAATACAACTTTACAGCAGTCTTTGTTGTTTTGAACACTTCCCTATAAATGGATCCCTGATTTTATATTAGGGACAATAAACCCATTAAGGCTCTTGAGTGAGGGGTGTTCATCAATCGATCACCAGAGAAGACCAAGAACAAAGATGAGATTCTACTTGAACTTTCTGGCTATTGATACAGGCTCAATATATGGAATGACCTACAGCCACTTGAGTGCCAGATGTGTTTTTACTTTGTAAAATAATAAACACAGTTCTTTTGCCTTAAGGGATATCTCAAAGTCTCTTTCACTTGAGGGCAATAAATTGATTAGTATAAATATTATCTCATATTCCCTACATGACAAAACCAAATTTTGGCAGGCAAATAAAACATTCATTTTGGACTTTCCATTACTAACAAAATAACAAAAACCAGTCTCAAAGTGTTTGTGAACTCAAAACATACAGAAGATGAAGTAAGTCTCTGCTTGTTTTGTGAACTCTGCAATGTCATTAAATCACTTCACTTTCCACATTTAGTTTGCAGTCACAGACAGTTATGATAAATATATGCTCAGTCTTCACCACTCCAATACAGCAATGAAAACATATGGACAGCAGCCTCACTACAAATCACTGGTCTCACTGTTGTTGGTCAGTCTTTTCCATAATTTTAACACCCTCATTTTTACACAGTAAAATCTTAAGTGGGCCCTGCTATTGCTAAATGTGTTCAGTGCGCCACAACAAGTAAATTATTCTTCTCTTCATATCTAAATTCTGTCTTAATTTAAAACGAGAAGGTAAGTCTTGTACTCAGTCATGCTGAATAGAAGGATTTACATGACTTACTAACAAATTCTCAAAACAGACTGGCAAGACCTGTTAATAATTTCTTGTCTTAAAAGGTCAGTCTCTATGAAAAAAAAATAAAGCTAAGGATAACTGAAGGATAACCAACAAATTTTTTTTTTCTTTAAATGAAATGAAAAAAAACCCCAGACTGAGCTTCAAGTACCATTACTCTGGCCAAGTAAACAGTTGTAATTCATAATTACAAAAATTAACTCCTTTTCTGTTGTTAAGCTGTAAAACAATATATACAAAACCCAGTGATTTTTGGTCCTCGTCCTTTTACAAACAGGTAGAAGCAGCTAACCTGGAGCAGGTGAGGGTGCTGGTGCCCTGGGTATCTGAGATAACAACTTCTCCTGCTGTGCTTTCTGAGCGAGTTCTGCATCCCACTCTTCAAGTTCTTTTTCAAAACGTTTATTGTCTTCCTTGACATAATCCCTTAGATCAGAAGGTAGCGTGTCCATTCCAACCAGCATCTGCCCTGTTTCTTTGTTAAACTCCTCTGCAGTAACATGAAACACAAGTTTCAGAAAAAGAAAGAATAGGGAAAACAAAGTATGTTCAACAGATTTCCTTAAGTGAATTGTTGCAAATGTACAGTGTAACGTTCAGAAAAAAGAGTCACAACCCCCCCACCATCACTCAATTGCATTACAGCCACACAGAGACAGACACAACTAAACTTCCCAAGGCAAAAGGGGGAAGGAGAGTGGGCCTACAGGGATTTGGAAAGTCAACTGATAGGAACACTGGCTACATTAAGTAATTGTTTGGAGAATGGTGTCTGCTCTCCCAGACCCCAGAAGATCAATCAGCTGTAACTGTCTCATAAGGAGCAGCCCCCAAATTTAACTGGTGTGGCAAAGCAGCCTACAGGGCCCACAGACCCTATGGCTGCAAGTCCACTACAGGGCCCACAGACCTTAAGTCCACTACCAATCTGGCAATCTCGAAATATTATGGGTAACATCAGTTCTCTTGTAAAAACTGAACAAATAAGCACTCAAGCCTTCTGCCCTATGAAAAGACAGGAGCATGAAAATTTTCCACAACCTATTACTGCATCTCTGGATGATTTCACAGTCAGCTCCCTGGCTACCATTATTATAAAACTTGAGCTAAAGGGATCTTTGTCCCCTCTTCAAACACTTCCATACAAAGGCTTACAGTTGCATACTACTACATGCCCTGAAAAAAATGTCCCGATCCATGTATTGCTTAGGTTTAATGTGTGGTTTGCAGGGCTAAGTTATTCACATTTCAATTTACTGCATAAGCTTTAAAGTTTCTGTGCTCCAGTAGAGTTCATTAGAGCTCTGAAGCTTAGGCAAAAAAAAAAAAAAAAAAAAGGGCAGCTTCCTGAGGATTTTAATGTAAAATGTTCATTTATCTATTTCCATGTTTCTATTCTCATGAGATAACGCCTTCAAAATTCTGAGCATGCAATCACCTGGCTAAAATGTTTGCAAATTAGCAAACATATAGTTTATTTTAATCTCTTAATAATGCTGAATCTCTGGCATTATCTTTATTAATCTAAAAGTTGAAGAGCAATTGTTCTACCTACAAAAATAATCTAACACCTATGAGCAGAAATAAAACTTTCAATAATTATTAAAAACATTTCAAAAATGGAAATCCATCTCACATGGAAATCCATGTGAGAGAAGCTCACTTTATCAATGTATTCAGCAATTCTACACCATGCAGAACCCATATTGATAACATTACCTTGTATCAAGTATTGTTCCTTATCATTGATATACATTAAACAGTATGCACTGGCGTTCCTGTAACCACCAAAAGAGTCCCGTTCCAACTCTTCCCAAGTTGACTTTGTCACAGAAATATCATTGTATTTCATCCATCTGTTCTGGTGGTGATCATAAATATACGCCCAGTAGTGTCCTGCATTCGCTTGACCCTCGTGAACTAGCACAGCATGCAACCTATACGGAACCTTAAAAAAGGAAACAGAAAAAAATCCAAATGTCAAACTCTCTTTGCCAGCAGTTAGTTCCTACTGTATACCAGCAATAATAGCTGCATTAAATAAAAGTAACAAAAATAAAGTTAAACAGGATCAAAGCAACACAGAGGAAACACAAACAAGTAAACCTAGCAATCCACTAAGCATAAGGAATTGAAATTGTATTAATTACCACTAGTTATAGGAAATTTTGAAAACATTAGTGAGTGTACAGCATAAATGTCTACTCTGCTGTCTTTACTGTCAGACACCCTCTTTTCTTAATTCCATAATATTCCTACCTTCCTTGTACAAAAAACCCTCAAATATGTCAGCCTTGACTATCCATGATTTGCTCCAACTCTGACCTGGTAAACCTGTCAAAAAGTCTGGAAAGGCACATGCAAATTCAAGGTAGTAAACTCTGTTCTTTCTATGTGCCATTAAGAGAGTTTATTAAAGGAATATCAGATTTGAATACTTTTGTTACCTAAAAGTAAAATTACTGAAGTAAAATAAGAACACAACTGTTTTCTGGTATTGTAAATATTATCAGTAAAGGCATTGCTAAGTAAAAGCACGGAACACCTGAAGATGTCCTCTCTTCCTCCTGCAGCAAAGAAGGAATACACCAGTTCCAGAACGATGTAAAAAGTATTCCAGGTTACATCTGTTCTATCTAAGTAGTTCTATCTAAGTAGGTGGGAAATCGAAGGAGAGAAAAGCAGAATGAATGAGTGCTTCTTTACTTACAAGTCCTTTAAAAGCATCTTAGTGATTGACTCATTTTAACCTGCTGAAACAGCACATGCAACATAAAAGGGAAAACTGATCTTCCCTGCTATGCACAGTGTGCCTGAATGACAACAGTTCAGCTGCGATGAAAAGCCCCAAACCATCCTTTACTGGTGTCACAGTCTGGACTGAGGATAAACAGCCTATTTAACACAAGGTGTACTAAGTATTTGTTGCAAATATCATTTGAGTACCTCAGTAATCAGTAACCATAAATACACGTGTAACTATGCCTTGAGAAACTCCTTGAAGTCACTTTTAACCTTATCATTCTGTTCCATGCTATATGCAAGGGCTGGAGATTTTGCAAACCCCCTTGAACTATAAAGCTGACTGACTGCACAGCAGCTGGAATCAAACAGCCTGTCATTCCAGAGACCAAACTGTACTCTAAATCTCCCAAACACAAGAAGTATACACAGAAGAAATCCTGGCAAGTCCTTAAATCTAAATGCTCTGGGGGTTTTGACATCTGTTATTAAACCAGTGTGAAAGCCTTCTTAAAATGATTGCAAGCCCATGTATATGCATCAAAATATATGCAGATCCTGATTTAACAAAAAAAAAGTTCTCTGTAGACTTCAACAAAATAAAATTCCTCACCCTAAAACCAGACACTAAAAATCCCAGGTGAATTTAAAACATTTTATTTAAAAACCATGCTAACTGGGTCAGCTTGAGGGCACCTACCATTTCCTCCAGCTCTGGAGAACCAGCTGTCCACACTGAGCTTCCAGCAAAGTTCCCCACAAAGGTCTGTGACCAGTGTACAGGTGAGTTCTGTGCTGACAGAGGTCTCTTGTGATAAGGCATTGTATCAACAGTAATTAATAGTACAGAGCATTAAAGCTTCTTAGCTTACACTTAGTACTCATGAAACAGGAATGGAGCTTCAACAACCCACATGTCGCTGCAGAACAGATGTGTCAAAGCTGCTGTATCCAAGATAAACTCCCACAGGAAAAAGTGTTGTGTCATTTCCCCACAGCAAATTTATGGAGGGAGGGAAATAATTAAATAAGCAGCTGATGAACCACTGATTGAGGAGAACAAGACAAAATAAAAATTGCAGGAAGGTATTTCATATGAAAACTTGACAATGGTTTTAGGATAACTGTAGTTTCCCTTAGACACCAAAGGGGTCACAAGGAGAAGATGAAGAGCTTCTCAAATAGTTCCTACAAACACTAGGAGGTATCCTGCAAATATAATATGTTTGTCTTAAAAATTTGTCTAGTTTAATGTGTCTAGAACATGACTAACAAGTGAAAAGCTCTCAGTCATGCAACTGTATCGTGCAGAGGAAAACATCGATGCTGTCAAACTTATCCCAGAGAATAGAGCAACACCCAGCTATCAAATCAACCAGAGGTAGAGATAGGCAGGGAAAAATGGACTGTGTGCACCTGCCTCCTTCCTATTGTGCCAAAACACCCACAGGGACAAAACCAGCTGAGCTGAATAAGGGGAACAACCTTTGCTTCCAGCCTGTGATTTCAGATGGGTCCAGCACCTACTTCATGTTTTACTAACTAATCTCCTTTTCCTTTTGTAATGATACTACCTTTGCCATCCAGAGGCATTTCCTCCTATAACACCTAAGCCAACACAGGTAGACTATATGGATACAATGTTACCAAATTACTTCATTTTACTGTTGGATGACATGAAACCTTCTTGTTATAACACAAGTATTAAGGAAAAAAAAAAAGTGTCTGCAAGTAGCAAGCTTAAAGAAAGTCATCTAGGCAAGTCTGCCTGAAACCCTTAACATCAGAGCTCAGCTGCCAAAAGATATTACAAGCCATGTACAAAATTAAAACATACCTCAAGGAAAACTGTAAGCTGAACAGATCTTACTTGGAATGAAAATAGTTCTTTTTACTAACAGAAAGTAACAGAGGAAGTAATCCTTAACCTTAAAACCTGTCAGAGTGAGAGAACATGAGTATGGGAACATAAGAAATGGCAGAGCAGCCACAACTCCATAGTAAAGCATTATAAAAACACTGTTCAGATTACACAACATGAGAATTTCCTAAAGGGCAGCTCAGACTAATAATCGAGGTTGTGACTGATACTAAATCTAAACAGTGTTTTAAAAATCCAACAATAGCAAAACAACAACAAAACCACTGACTTGCATTATTAACTACAATTCACAACCAGGAGCCTGAATTCCCAAGTATTAGCATGGAAGCTGCGATACACGAAGACACTCACTAAGCAGCAAAGTACAAAAATAATAGTTTCTTGTATCTAATGCTTTGCCACCTTAATGCCACAAGATTGCCTAGCAATATGGTCAAATCAGAGCAAAAAAAATTTATTGCATGTATCTGCATCCAAGTAAAACTAAAAATGGATCAGAGATGTTATATATTTTGGCTTTTCATCACAAAGTTGCCTGAACTTAAGCATGTCACCTGTAAAATATTGTAACGCTGTCTTCCATCTGACTGTGCACAACTAAAGTGTTTGCAAGTCTCAAAGTCCTATGTAACTGCCGTACCCTTGCTCTATTTTCAAGCATCTAAGAACTTTCAAAAAGCGACAAAAAGGATCTATTTTCAGTTATCTCATGCTGAAATTGCACTTACTTGGACCATTGTTTTGTCGGAGTACATCAGTTCAATTGTCCGATGTATTCTAGATATACTTTCTTGTAAATCTGAAAGAAAAAAAGAACCTCTCTTCCATAAGGCTGCATAATTGCACATGGCTACATCTTTATTTTATCTCACTAAAAGCCAAATGTGGGTACATTTCAATGTGGTGCATACTGATCTACCCACATGCCAAACAATAAACATTCTCGGATGAAAAATTTCCCCCGCTTGCACAAATGTTTTCCATCAGCAAGTGCAATCCCCAGCTCATGGCATTACCTCTAGTGTCATTCTCTACTTCAGTCCTCCAGCGATGCAAACAGCCTTCCAGGACAGACAGCTCCTCCTCGGTGATGTGCCTTGGTGCCGGATGCATCGGCAGATCAGGAGGAATTCGTGATTGTGTGAATGGTTTATGTATTACTGATCTTTGTACGGGAGATGTGCTTGGAACATCTGAAGAGGAAGGCCCCTGCTGTTCTATTGTGCTGCATTCATTCAAAACATGAAATACAAAAATTGAATCATCATGTGCACAAACTAAAATCTACAGCACAAAAAGAAGCTTTTCCCCTGAAAACAAAAATTTTAAAGGTAGTAATTTCCTACAGTGCAATCCAGGAAAGGTACCTACAATATTAATATGGAATTAGTGTGTAAATTCCGAAAACTTTGTGGTTTGCAAAACCACATACATAAAGGAATCAGATCTGGATCGGTCAAGTCATAGTTTGCTTCACTTGAAATGCTACTAAAGCACTTTCAAATCATGTCGTACACGTGAACAGTGCAGTTTGAAACATTTACTGCCAAATGGCAGAGAGAAAAATCACAGCAGCTTGTCTTATGGCCCACTGACCATAAAATCCAATAAACACAAGCTCTCTGTTTAATAACTTCTTTATGTGTCCTATGCCTTAGCAGACATTCTTTTTCTGATCACCTACCTACAATTCATTATATAACTGAACAGCAACAAGGAAGGGACCTCTGATATTTTCAGTACACTGGAAATTTAGTACCAACCCACCTAAATTTGTTCCAAACAACTCTAACTCAAATTGCAGAGCAGCCATCTTAGGAGAACTCTACAAGAGCAGCAGAATAATAAAAATTAAAATCTGTTACAGAGTTTTCTCTTCTCATCAACAAGACCGCCTATATATAATTACACTGCCTAACAGGAATCTGAAGATCTTTCTTGCAAGCCACTGAATTTTTACTTCATGTACAGCATCGTGATACAGCCCAAGGAACCTGGATTCTTCAGTAGTTTACAAAGTTGAGAGAACACTAAGAGCTGAAAATGTTACTCCATATAGCATGTTCTGGTGTTTCTACAGATTGACCAAAAAAAGTCACAAGACTTACATTTTTACAGAACAAACTTCCAGCGTAGGAGTTTGAACAAGGTATATTACTTTTGATTATTGTATTTCATGCAAGCAATGGTAACTTTTAGAAGTTTGTCTTCCCTTACCAGTCATCATCATTTCTACAGTACGACATCTGAAATATGTTTGAAGTCTTTTTAGATTCATGTACTTAATTTCTTTGTACTACACAGTTAACCAGAACCCAAACCCCTGCTTTCCAAATGCAATGTAAAAAGCTATGTTATAAACTGTTAAGTGTCCAGCTAACCAAAGTTATACTCTATCATAGAATCATCTAGTTTGGAAAAGACCGCTAAGACCATCAAATCCAACGGTTAACCCAGCACCTGCCACCTCCACCACTACCCTGAGTGCCACATAAACATGTCTTTTAAACACCTCCAGGGATGGTGATTCCACCAGTTCCCTGGGAAGCCTGACTCAGTGCTTGACAACTCTTCCAGTAAAGAAATTTTTCCCTAATATCCGACCTAAACCTCCCCTGGTACAACTTGAGGCCATTTCCCTGCATCCTATCGCTTGTCACATGGGAGAAGAGCCTGACCCCCAACTGGCACAACCACCTCCTTTCACATGGTTGTAGAGAGCAATCAGGTCTCTCCCCAGCCTCCTTTTTTCGAGGCTAAACATCTCCAGCTCCCTCAGCTGCTCCTCATCAGACTTATGCTCCAGTTCCTTCCTCAGCTCAGTCACCCTTCTCTGGACTCGCTCCAGCACCTCAATGTTTTACTTGCAGTGAGGAGTCCAGAACTGGACACAGGATTTGAGGTGTGGCCTCACCAGTGCCCAGTGCAGGGGGATGGTCCTCCTGGTAACACTATTTCTATATAGGCCAGGTGCTGTTGGCCTTTTTGCCCACCTGGGCACGCACTGGCTCATGTTCAGCCACTACTGACCTGCACCCCCAGGGCCTTTTCTGCCCAGCAGCTTTCCAGCCACTCTTCCACCAGCCTGTAGCACTGCAGGGGGTTGCTGTGACCCAAGTGCAGGACCTGGCACTTGGCCTTGCTGAGCATCATATAATTGTCCTCAGCCTATGGATCCAGCCTGATCCCTCTGCAGAACCTTCCACCCCTCCAGCAAATTCAACACTCCCACCCAAACTGGTGTCATCTGCAAAATGAGGGTGCACCCAATCCCCAATACTGAGTTCCTAGCTTAAATAATGAGAAAACCAACATTACTGAACTTTTCTCACCCTGATACTTTAGCTACTCTGTATTAAAAAGAGTCAGACTGTTAGGTTCCCGACAAACTTGGTGAGAAGTATAAATTGCAAAGCATAAAAGGAGCTTAACTCCCAGGCAGAAATTAACAGATAAATTGTATACCAGCAGCACATATACACTGCCCAATTCAGGTTCTTAAACAATATCCTTAGGAGGCATAGACCTCCCCAGCTATTGTGTGTATTCGAAATTGTAGGTGGAATTGGGCTTTGTTTGAAAATGGAAATTCTCCACCCAGAGACATTTTTATAAGCGCATGAGACAAACACACACATTATTAATATTTAGCTTCATTTATTTAAGTCTGCTGTGCTGAAAAGCACTTCTGGGAGAAGAGCAGAGATTTTAGGCTATACCCCTTAGGAGATGCCTAGATTTATTCACCTGATGAACAAAGCAGCTAGAGTTCCTGCCTCTCTCCCAGATGCTGGCTTGCACTGGGAGAGCAGGAGGCAGCCCTTACCTGGGTGAGGTCTGGGCTGGCACCGTGCCGCTCGCAGGGGCACTTGCACCCAGGTCATCGACGGGAGATGTGCACACCGGCTTGCTGGAGGCGAACTCCAAAGCGTACTGCAGGACATCTACCAAGGGGAATCGTTTAGGACCAGAACCATAGCTTAAATATCTGTTAACCATAAAACGTATTAATGCCATGACTCACGTATACACACACACAAAAAAAAAAAAGAAAAAGAAAAAAGGAAAGAAAATTTTTTTTTTTCTGATTGACTGCAATTAAATAAAGTAAGCCTTTCCTAGCATGTTTCATGCATCAGAATTACAATGTTTAAACACAATTTACAAGAGAAAAAGAAAAGAGTAAATAATTACACAAAGTCTGTAGTTGAAAAGAGTTATTCTAGGTAGTCTATAATACTATTTGCATTTACACAGTTATCTATAGTACCGTTCTAATCTCTGCTGTAAAACTGTGAGGTACTCTTTGAGTCTCTTGATTTCATCTCGTTTAATTCTTGTTATTTCTCTGTTTTTGTGCATATACCTGTAAAACATGAAATTCAGAGAGAAACGTCAGCCCATAGGACCCCAACACCGGAACTGAGGTCTGTACCCACCAGCCATAATCACTAACGTTGAGTGCTAATAAAAACTCACACTCTCTAGAACTTACAATATTCAGCACTCAAACAGAACTGAGACAAAAATAAGCCATTAAACGTTCCCTTCCACAACTTCTAGAGGATGCTTCTTCCATGGTGTCGAAAGCTCTGTTCATACCATGGAGGACAAACACATATTAGAAAGCTACTCTTCAAACCATGCATTCTACCTGGAACACCATGAAATAGCTGACTTGTCATCCTCTTTCCCAAACGGACCCATAAATCATATTATACTGTACCTGTCTAGATACAAAATTGGAGGAAATTCTAATTTGTTGTGTATCTTCTCTGGTCTCCCCAAAGCCTGATTAAACTCAAATCTTGACAGCTCAAACGTTAAGACAGGAGGAAGCTCCGTGAACCAGTGCTGGACAAAAGAAAAACAGAGAACCCCACAATGAATGCCTTCCAATAGCAGTAATTTAATTTAGTAATAATTGTAAAATACCTGCAGACCGACAGCTGTGGGAGAAATTGGTTTTAGAAGGTGGGTCAGCATTAACCTTTGCAAAGCTCCCATCTTTCCCCTTCACTGTAAACACAGACCCTTTGTTGCCCATGCTGCATCAGAGCTTTTCAACTCCTCCACTGCTGTCTGTGTTGAAGCTGAGGAGGCAGGAAGGATTCTTCACGTCACATTTGCCTCACTTCTACCAAAATCAGCCCATGCTCGAACCTACCTGCCTTACTAACTGTCCTGTTCTCTTTTAACTACCCCATAACATTGAAAGGGTTGTTTACACTGTATCAAGTGCTCTTCCTGCTAGTCCCCTCAGGCTCATATTCCTGACCCTTTCATTCACCTGATATCACTCAGAGTTTCTTCTGTGAAGCAGGATCAGTGAGTGCTCCGGGCTGGGCCAGATAAGAGCTCTCAGCAGCATAAAACTGATACTTTTTCTTGAAATTTTCTCTACATTAACAAATTAAAGTTTCTGCTCATGTCTCTAATCACTGCTAATCACTGTTATCATCACCTTACCTCAATTTTCTTAGAGTACTCAGTAGAGGTCTATCCCTAACCTTCCTTTTTTTCTTTACATACATTGTTTCTCAACTCAGCTACAACTACAACACAAATCCAGCATTATTTTTCTCTCCATTATAAAACATAACAACTACTACGGTCTATTCATTTAATAAGTTTTAGATATCTAACCATCAACGCAAGCTTCCCTGACTACTGCAGATGCTATTGCCACATATTTCTGGCATCAATGCCATAGCCCAGATGTGGCATTTGACTCAGGGCTCACTTCAAGTTCTCCTACCCAGTCAAATGTCTTAAATAGTCTTTTCCTCGCAGACAGCCTTTTCCTCCTGTGCTCGTGGATAAAATTTATGTCTGGGTTCCCATCACTCCACATCTGAGTGCAAGGTTTCCTCTCTTCTCCCCTTGCCTGGCCTTAGCACAGGTAACCTTGTCACACTAACAGAATCCCAGGATGTCGCTGAGAATTTTCCTAGTTCATTGCCTTATTTACACCCAAAGTGAGCTGCCTTGCATTTTCTTGCCTATATCAGCCTCCAATAACCACCTTGTCAGTTTTAACAGAGACGACCATGACTTCTCTCTTGCAACAACTTCACACAGCAGTAAATTTCAATGCTTAAGTCAGCAAAGACACAGCACAACCCTTCCCCCTGAAACCCTCTCATGGCAAGGCCCCCAAAACACTTAATGATGATTAAGTTGCTGATGTGCTTAATTTCATCAACAATGATGCTAACAAACATTCTCTCATTTTCCTCACACTTCTAAACTCAAGTATGTGCATTGACCTCCATCTTCTCTTGAAAGAGGATTTAAGTTCCTCAGGACAGGGATTTTTTTGGTTGTTCATACATTAGCTTGCCTGCTGACACCCCACTCCATAGTTGAGGCTTTTAGGCATTCTGATAATAAGAGTAAAAATAATAATGATAATAATAGTGAACGAGCAGCTAAATACCCCATTAGAGGCAAAGGTGGGAATAAGGAAAAAAGTAGAATGCTGCTTTTAAGATCTACTAAAATGTGTCTAGCACAATAATATCCTCTTTATATTTGGTATCAGCTCAGAGGAATGACACTTTAAGTCTTTGTTCAGCTGAGATAGATTCTGCTAAAACCACAAAAAACTGAGCTTCCTTTAGTACTTCCAAGCCTTTCAGTGCACTGTAACAATGCAGGACTGGGGAAGTGATTCTTCTCCTGTACTCAGCACTGGTTAGGTTGCACCTTGAGTACTGTGTCCAGTTCTGGGCCCCTCAATTTAGGAAGGATGTTGAGGTGCTGGAGCAGGTCCAGAGAAGAGCAATGAGGCTTGTGAAGGGACTGGAGCATAAGTCCTATGAAGAGCAGCTGAAGGAGCTGGGGTTGTTCAGCCTGGGGAAAAGAAGGCTCAGGGGAGACCTTATTGCTGTTTACAACTACCTGAGAGGAGGTTGTAGCCAGGTGGGGGTCGGTCTCTTCTCCCAGGCAACCAGCAGCAGGACAAGAGGGCATGGGCTTAAGCTCTGCCAGGGGAGGTTTAGGTTGGACATTAGGAAGAAGTTCTCCACAGAAACAGTGATTGGGTATTGAAATAGACTGCCCAGGGAAGTGGTAGGGTCACCATCCCTGGAGGTGTTTAAGATTGGGCATGGCACTTAGTGCCATAGTCTAATTGACAGAGTGGTGTTCGGTCATAGGTTGGATTCGATCTCAGAGGTCTTTTGCAACCTAGTTGGTTCTGTGATCTTTGAGGCAGCATATTTAAACATAGCTACTAAAAGCAGCAACATCACTACAAATTACTTCAGAGAAAGTCCATCAATTTACTTAGCCCTGGTAATAATGCAGTAATGTTTCTTGGTTTTTCAACATTGTCAATGTCATGTGATTTTCACTTCAATTTCCACATGCTAAGAAGCCAAGTTGATCAAAACCTTGACAATAACTCAAAGCTTAACAGCCTAGACCTCTACATAATTCTTCTGTTCCCCACAATTTCCCAACATTACAGGTTAAAAACCCTCAAAACCAAACCAAAACAAACAAGAAAACGCCCCCAAACCACACAACCCCAAATCTGACATTTCTAGACAAGCATTTATAACAGAACTGACATTTTATGCAAGAACACACACATATTTTAACTGCAAGACAGTCTCAGTCCGCAAGATGAACGATCGTGTTCTTGTAGTAGAGACATAGAAGATTTCCCCTAGAATGAAGAAACAAAACTTTGGATTCTACCAAGGAATTTATGAGATTGTTCTCTTCCAATTATGTTGCAGTAAACATGATCACTGTAAAAGGAATGCTCTAAAACATTTGTTGTAAAACACAAAGTTGGAACTAGAACTTCAGACTGGAGGATGATTTCAGTGTGTGTCACTAGGCTTCGTAATTAAACCCTGTGTGTATGTTGATATGATTAAATGAAGCAAAGTTATGTTACTTCCAAAGACTGACATCAAGGAAGAAATTACACCTTTTTACTTAAGTAGAAGAAATCTCCTAAGACTTCACATCTTTAAAATACTGTGGCAAAACACGAACAGCTGTGTAAAGAGAAAGTAGTTCAGCCCTTAAAGGCAGCAGGGATTCCCGTTTTTCCATACCAATAACCCGCAGGTTATCAGAGAGAGCTCTGCCACAGAAAAATGCTGGGCACACATATAAATGCCAGCAGTAAGAGGGGATGTTTCAGAGCACACCCTCCTGGTTCTACAACCACCAACTACCTCTCTTCCTAACCTGCGACTTCTGCACAAGAAATCTCATTCATCAACTCTTCTCGATATCATACACTGCATACCCCACTGCTTAGTGGGGCTCCATCTGAATCCCTTCACCCACGCTTCCAGCACGTTCTGGAATCTGGCAGCCTCCTGCTCTAATGAGCTCTTCTGGAACAGGAGGAAGAGCAGCCCCACAGAATAGGTATTGTCTGTGCAGCACTGCAAGCAAAGCAGAGAATTGCCCACTGTAGGTGGCAAAGAGGACGAATGGAAATGCCAGTAGTAAGAAGAGAGGGGAGAAGCCTAAGGTGCTGAACAATTACATGACAGAGGCACAGGAGAACAAGGGGAATGCTGTGCAGCAATGGCAAGGGCACAACTCACAGCTGCTGTTCACAACATGGCCCAGAGCAGCAAGCCAGTCAGAGCAGTGCTCAGGTACCACAGGACACCTAAGCCATGACCTCTCAGGGAGATCAAATATCAGCAACAGGCAGGAACCAGCCTGTGTCAAATCACCACTGTAAGCACTTAATTGTGCCAGCTTTTAATAAGCATGAACTTCCTATCTTAAGAAAAATGCAAAAAGATTATATTCTGGATACTCCAAAAGAGATACAACCCCCCCCCAAATTAACATTATGCCAGGCATCAGGACCCACACAGCAGCAGGTCAGGTAAAAAAAACAACCATGAACCCAAATGTAAAATAAAAAGCACTACAACAACATCCCTAAAGAAGCCCACAGGGGCACTTAACTCACCTCCTGACCAGACTTGGCAGAGTTTTCTGAATGGAGGGATTCAATTTCCCCTTCAATCATTGCAGCTTCGAGGCACTCATGCAGATCTTTGAAGCCATTAACCTGTAGCGGATACTGGCCAAACATTTCTGTGTTTTCAAATTTTTTACCTTCACATGAAAAATGAAAAAGTTAATGTTTTAGAAACAAGTGTTTATCTTTTTAAGAAATGAACAATCCTAGGTCGGCTGATCTAGTCTATTGAAAAATACTCACATTTTCTTATTAAGCAGTTCAATTCTAAGTACAAAGTTACAAGTGGTTGAAACATAATACTGAAAATCTCTGTATTTTCTTCTCCAGCCCATCTTTTAATTTGTTTTAGCATCTACTGGCAAAACTCAAAATGACTTGGCTCTACACATGTATGAGAAGTTTTACACATATAAATCAAAATCATCCTCCTCCTGCAAATAGCAGTTTAGTAACACAACTGTACATTGTATCAGCAAAGTCAGGGAATTGTTGATATCAAAGAGCCCTTTGTATAAGTACATTTTGCAAAAATAAACCGCAAAAGAGAACATTCATGATTTCTGTCCTGAAAACAAGATTATACTTCGGTAACAGTGTATAAAGATATAAGCTCAAACATGAGGAGAAATATAGTGATTTCAACCTAGAATTTCAATTTATTTCATCCTAAAGTCAGTAACAAGTCTTCTTAGGCCTGCTAGTTTCTTTCCATTGGTTTGATTTTAACATATCTCTTCAGTTAAGATGACAATGTAAAGGAGGAAAATAGTTAAATGTAAAGGAGCAAGAATGCTGGCTACTAGCAAGAAATCTACAGAATGGTTTTGAAATCTGACAACAAATCAAAAGATATGCCATTCGAGGTCAAGGAATAACCTGGAAGACACTTAAAAGACTAGAGGTGCTTCTTTCAAATGCAAGTCATTAACTTAGAATGCGAGAGCAGATTCACCAATAATAACGTTACTCAAAAATGCTTTCATAGCCTCCTGGAAACAGAGAACGCTGCAGTTCCACAGTTCCACTAATTACATCCAGATAAGATAAAGGGAAGCTTGTTGTACAGTCTCTTCCTCCTTAGCACTCCCTCCAACACTGCCTTTGGGGAGGTTTCCACTGACTTGTTTTCAGCAAACTGTAACTTTTAGGAGGGTGAGTTTTTCATACAAGAAATTGTGCAGAAGAAAATGCAAAAAAAATGAAATTTTAAATGGCACTAAATGAATAAGAGAGAGTGAGAGACTAGTTCGATGAAATACAGTAAATTGCCCTCTACATACAATTAATAAGTGGTAAAAGTGCCCAAATAATTTCTTCCAAGGATCTTCCCTCAGCATCTCACCCAAACTTCTGCTGCACTGAGAGCAATCAGATCCTCAAGGCTATCAAAACAGTCTTTCTGGATCCCTGCAGCTCACTGCATTTACCTTCAGTCTCCTATTTCCAGGACAAACCATTTGTCACAGACTGAGCTTATACTGTCCAAGTGTGCTTCTGCAGAAGTACCTAAATCCTACAACTGCATCGTTGACCCATGTACTTGGACAGGCACTGGACAGACACAACCACAGATGTCCAAGTAAATCCAGATGCATACCTTCAAGTACACCTACTGCTAGAAATCGTCCATAAAACAACTCCACCATTGGGTTCTTTGGTTTCTCTCCATCCCTAAAAAACAAGAAGTATGTTAGTGGGGGGAAAAAAATAAAAAAAATCAAACACAAGCTACAAACTTTTATTAAATTACGAACAGATTATTCTGAATTCATTATGGAAATTATGCTGCCTATTTTACTCAGTTACTGTTAATTTATATTTGTACTTTTCTCTAATGACAATAACAATGATTTGGATATTTGCAGTGATAAGTATATTCTGAAAATTAAGTTTCAGAAGTGCCTTGTTCTAGGAAAATCTATGTAAACCAGATTCAATTAATGAGTGGGTAATTGTACAAAACCCCTGTAAAAGCTATTTCCTACAATGCTCTAGAAAAAATATGTAGTCAAAAAACTGTTTACAGATGTTTACTTATACAAAAAATGAGTATTTACTGCTGAGATGAGGAAAAGGTTTTGAAGTATTTCAAACTGCATGATCAAAAAGCAAAATTTCGTTCAAATGAAAAGAGCCTAATTGATGGTACAAAAACCACATCTATATTCTTTATACACTTTGGACTTCATTGAGCTGGATTTCTAACACAAAATAAGAGAGTGTAAAAGACAACTGATGGAAAAAAACAAGGTATTGCCATGTATGGAAAAAACCACACTGGAACCAAAATGAGCTACAGAGTTGGGTCTTTTCAGCCATAGAGAGAAGTGGATTTTTGGTTGTTTGGTTTGCTTTTCTCTCTTTTAAGTGTTCAACATGCAGAGCTAGAAAAAAAAAATCTTACCTCTCCTCTTCAGCTTTAATTTGGAAGGCATCTTCTAGCCAATCTAATAATTTGTGTGTGAATTCACTGACGTCTTGCTGTTAAAAAATATAAAATGATCAGTGTATGTTCACATATCAGAGAATCATAGGCTACAAGTAACAGAACACAATGAAGTGTCACCTTACAAGATCAGTATAGCAGTATTCCCCTCCACAACTGTTCCAAAATCACATTGTGCCTAAGACTATTCCATGATTGGTGTTTGTTTTATGACTAGCTCTGGTGTTCCTCAGATGTGACACTGTCCTGTGATCCTTATTACTTGGGGTCAGCTTTCATACCATTCTAGTCCAAAGGCATCTCATGAATCCCATTGTTCAAACCCTTTGGTATCTAACAAGTGGTGACTAATATTACTTTCATCGAGCACTAAATTCAGCATGCTGTTGTAATTAAACACCTCAGCCACATAAACTCATGTGGGAAAATAAAGCATCTCAAGAAACAAAGTGTTTCTCAAAAAAAGCATAATATACTATGATTCAGGAAAGAATCCTGAACACTATCTACACAAACAGGTTAATAGGACTGTACCAGCCCTGGATGTACTGTTAGATCAGATAATGCTCTTTTAAAAAACCTCAGACTTGAAACTAAACCCTAAAACCAAGAATGTGGAACTATTAGTTAATTTCTGAAACAACAGGAAGAAAACTGAACAATGCTGAGTAAAACGCATGCTGTCTGGAATATTTTCTTAATTTTCCTAATAAAGGTGACTAGAAATCACATCATATCAGCAGAAAAGCTCAAAGACTCTGATAATAAGTTTTTTCTGTGGACATTTTGAGTTTTTGTTGTCCACTGTAAGTACTTCCTATTGCCAGATGACCCCAGAAGACCATAAGAAAACATGCATAAGATTGATAAAAAAATTACCTGTTGGGAATCATTTGATTTAAAAGCATCTTTAAGGATTTCAACTGCTCTTGATGGGTCAACATATTTTCTCTTTGAACCAACTAGAAGTGCAAATAGGTACCTCAATTCACGCATGAAAGGCAGATTCCTATGTTCCTGTATTGGAAGAATTAAAAACATTTAACAAAGTGATAACAAAAATCTACATACGTGCTACCCAATAAACTAAATGTATGACTTGCCAATCATCATAATAATACATAAGTGTACTTATAGTACTACAAGGTAGTGTTGCATGCCTTTTACTTGCCAATTTTACAAAATAATGTAGTTCTCTGGAAAGAAAATTACATTTCAGAAACTAAAAGCTCCCTGAAATTATATCTAGATAATACTGATTGTCTTGAAGTTGGGCTACACTGACAACTGGGCAAGTCACGTTGCATTTAAGACAGAATTGTTCCTCTTAAGACTTACAAATTTTTAAGTAATACACTGTAACAATACACCTTGGTTTTATTGAAATTAGTATTCCACTATATCTCTAGCAGAATTTCTTGTGAGCCTAATCACTATTCAGTACCTTCTTAAGCTTATTTTTTACTGAAAACTAAATTCATAAAGCGTACATAAATATTATTTCTCTTGACAGAAGTAAGAGAAACAGCCTGCTCTCCTTTGTACCTATTATTTAAAGCACAGTTCATGGGACTATGGCATTCTTCCTCTGGTTTCCAGAAGAGAAGAAATACCTTCTGCCTGTATAATGAAAAGCAAATAAAAACACAACTCCCTCATACCACAGATTAAACCACAAGTGGAGACTGGATATCACTCATACTCCTGAGTAGATAGTTGACAAATACTTGTGAAACTAAACCCCATGTAATACCCACTCGTATTTAGAACAAAGTATCATTCAAAGGCAGCACAGATGTCAGATGCTGGTCAAACTAGAATTACTTGATGACAAACTATTTCACATGCTCATCAAACAGCAGACTTGTTTAGTCACTCCTGTGTCAACCTAGTATGGACAAAGCTTTTTGAATGTTAAGTATGTTTTACTTTAGCTTTAAAAGCTGTGCAGTGAAATGGAATATATGTTTTGCATAATACCTAAAAAATACTTCTAGTCACATAAATCTCTGAGTTTAACTTGCTCTTCTAGTCCACCTTGCAAAATACCTGCCAGTTATAAACACTGCTCACAGAATAGGCTGAAGACTTCAAGTGCCACCCTAGCAATTCAGCATTAAGTCATCTTAATTTAAGAACAAAATCTGTCTCCCATTTAGATATCTAAAGACCTATATAACAACAAAATAGGGAAACAAACTGCAAAACCGGTATTTTTCTTACTATTTAATAAAGCAATTTATTAAAATGAACACGATTTCAAATTTTAGATACAGATAGATTTTATCCAAATGTTTAAAAACCAATGATAATTCATATGCACAATATAAGTTATTACCACAGAATATTCTAGATCTTAGCTTTTTTTGTTTTTTTCTCATCTGAAGTATATAGGCAGTACTGCTGCATTAGCCAAACTTACACTAGTACTTTGGCTGAGCTTTAAGAATATTTGTACCTCTAGGTCGAACAACTGGCTACCAATGTCAGTAGGATTGCTCAGAATAAATATCTTTATAAAGGTTATCAAAGTTCTCTAACACTAGAAAAATCCTTGCTGTTTTTCAAAAATCAAAGCTTGATTTAATGCATTAGGCGTGATCCTTGACCAGATTATGTGGGCATTACCACAACAAACAGATTCTGACTGAACAAAGCCTAAAAACTTCAAAAGAACATGGGCCAGTTCCCACGACAAGGTATACAGTTCCACGGAGGACTTGTACAGTAAAACAAAAAGAACTAATGAAGTGATCACAGCACAGCAGCTACACAAACACCAAAAAAAAAAAAAAAAAAAAAAAAAAAAAAAAAAAAAAAAAAAAAAAAAAAAAAAAAAAAAAAAAAAAAAAAAAAAAAAAAAAAAAAAAAAAAAAAAAAAAAAAAAAAAAAAAAAAAAAAAAAAAAAAAAAAAAAAAAAAAAAAAAAAAAAAAAAAAAAAAAAAAAAAAAAAAGATTAAAATGAGTTTTGAATTTAAAACTGTATGGGAAGGTAATAATCTGAAACAGTCTCTATTTTATCACCCATGCTGCCTGCATAAGTAATTTCTTAATACATGTCGGAATAACTTTTGATTATAAATGCTGCTAAAGCAGTTTGCATATTTAATTCATAGCAAACACTCATTATTGTCAATCAGTGTGGAAGGACAGTGACATAGTGATAACATTGAAAATAATATCCAAACAGGCAGAAGGATGTGCTAACCTGTAGCACAATAACCCGCTTCCTCTGATAATAAAATGTTTCCTGAAGATATCACTAAGGCCAAATATTTCCCTGGTCTCACTGTGTACAGCAAAAAGGTCTGTTCATGTGACAGCAAGAAGTAAGAGAACTGGGAGAGCCAAAGAAGTTGCAATAACTACAGAGAACTGTATCTGTGCTACAGAAGGATAACAAGGAAGAAAAATTAATTTCAAAATAAAAAGAAGAAAGCCAGATTGAAGATGTTAAGTGCATGCCCAAATCCAGAAAAACAAAGCCCAATTAGCTGAGGCAAACAGGGTGAGATTGCTGTTGTTTGGGGTTTTTTTTTTTTTTTTTCAAGTTAAAATTTATACCAATGACCCCTGGATTAACAACTTCACATGCTAAATCATTCATATCATTGGGATTCAATATATTGATGGGAAAGAAAAAACAACCCTTCTATGCAAGATTCCCTGAAGTACAACCACGTGCTTTAATTCTACATCAAGAGGTTGTCATGACCCTGGAGTTAAATAAGTCCCATCAACTGGAAGAACAACCGGATGTAAACCAAAGTATTAAAAATCTGGGATTATTAAAACTTAGTCTTTATTAGGAAGGGAATTTGATCCTAAAGAATGTCAGTTATTAATACTAGAATAAAAATTAAAACAAAACGAAGTTGAAACAGTTTCAAAACAAGTAAGCAGATGGAAATAAATTCCAGGGCCTTTCCCCCCCCGCCCTTTTGTCAACTAGTAACTTATATTAGTCCTTTAAAACAATTTGCCTCTACTTGCCTTCACTTATAAAGAAATAAAAGCACCATATTTGGGGGCATGCATGCATATTTCCTCTATTTGTCAAAGTTCCAACTAGTGATCTCTTTTCCTAAACTGTCCCAGTCCTTTTTCAGCTGTAGATAAGACAAATGAGTACACCAATTAACAAGTTATTTTATCCTGGAATTTAAATTAACAAAGGAGAGGACAAAAACTACTGCCAGAGATTCTTACTAGCAGGCCTGCAGAAAGCAAGGTTTCTGCACAAATCCATATCCTCTCCAGGTGTCACACCATTTCACACAGCCTTAATACTGTCTGTCATGGTCAGAATTTCTTAAAAAAAAAAAAAATAGCCCTTTGGAATTGCTAAAGGCATTCAGCTGCAAGTGTCAATGCTTGGGCAAGATGGTTTTCAACACAACAGCTTGTTACTAGCTATTTCATACCACCTCTTAGATGCCAACTGCTTTTTACACCCTGAAAACTGAAGGTAAAGAACTCTGAGTACCAGAAGACATTACTAAAACAAATTATATGATGAATAATTAAATGCTACGCAGAAAGTCAATCTAAAAATAAAATTTTAAAAAAATTCAGTACAACTCTTTGGTAAAGCATGACTTTTCTTTCTTACACTGCCCCATCCCTACCTTGTGCCACATTCCCACCACTACCCATGTATTTTCACACCATCTCATGACAAATGCAAACATGCTTTCCTACCCCAAAAAAAGTGACTCCTTCCTACTTGAATGCGGGAGGAGGAGGAAAGGAGCAGGGACAGGGGAGAAATTACACCGTTCTGATTGAACATTCAACTTCCCTTTCAGGGCACACGCCCAGAAGTTTGGAAAATGGACACTGTCTCTTTTCCTTTGCTTCTCTAATTAGAGCTCCTAGTTTTGCTAGTGAATGTTCCAGTTAAACCTGAAGTGTCAAACAACTAAGAACACGCAGACAACACACTCCCTTTTTTAAATCTGAAAGAAAGGGGCAATAGGCAATAGTTTAATTTATGGTGAAGGTGGTGGAGGCATTGGAACAGGTTGCCCAGAGAACTTGTGGATGCCCCATCCCTGGAAGTGTTCAAGGCCAGGCTCAGGCTGGATGCAGCTCTGAGCAATCTGGTCTAGTGCACGGTGTTCCTGCCCATGGCACAGGGGTTGTAACTGGATCATCTTTAAGGTTCCTTTCAACCTAGATCATTCTATGATTCTAATTTCTGGATATGCGAAAATTCACTGCCTTGTAAGCCACCACTAAAAGTAACAGTACCAAGTGTCTTCACACTTCCTACAGCCACTTCCTCTTCCCATCTCTACCCCTCCAATTTGTAGCATGGAAACCAAGGGGTCTCCATGTACCTCTCCTCAGAGGGTGTCCATGAAGGAGGAAAAACTGATCTGAGATCAGGCCATGACCATTCCCCCTTGCTAGTTTGAAGTCAGAAGAAACCCGAGCCAAGACCCTCCCCTCCTCAATCCTATGAGAGCACCAGGATACACATGAGAACATTTATGCTTATAATCACCTCATGAAAAGGCCAGAAGAGACAAGCTAATAAAATGGAAAGCTTAATCTCACATTGTGAGGTTGAGGGAACTGGAATAAAATGTTTGCTATAACAAGCTACATTCACATGAGAAATGCTCTGCCTCTCCCATCTACCACGAGGCTGATGTCATTTATGTAAGATCCACAATAGGAAGCTCAGAGGACTGGTAAGTGGAACCTCTAAAACTCATGTTAATTTGAGCTAGAGAACAGTGCAAAATTCAGAGAGAAATGCCCTTAGCCATGAGGGGAAGTCAGCTTCTCATTTTACCTTTTGGTTTCGGGGCAAGTCTTGAGCATTTGCAGGAGGATTGAAATTCAAAACTAGTCTTCGAAACTCCAGTAGGTTAAATAATGACTGAAAAGAAAAAATTAAGAAAACCTTTAAGCACTTCTACAAACAATACAAAGTTCTTCCAAACAAGCAAAAGAAATGAAGTTTTAAACTTATGCAATGCTAAGGTTTCATTTCAGAAAGTAGGTTATTTCACTTAACTTTGCTAGGCGTATTTTCATCAGAAGACAATTATTTTTGCCAAGAAAACAGCATAATAAAAAAAATCCTATGCACTTCATCACATAAATGGTACAGAAGTTTTATATGGTAGGCAAGTTACCTTTTACAACAAGGATTTTATTAATTGTATAACTATCAATTTTAAAGCTGAAATGAAAGCTTGTTTAGCCATCTAAAATTCATCCTGTAAGCCCTCTATCATCTACCTCCTCATTGCAGAGAGAATACACTTTTCTATATGCAATTTAATTCCTCTTGCAATTAGCTGTACTTTTTGCATTCTGTCCACTCCTCCCATTATTACAGGATGTGAGGGATGTACATTTGAGTAAGGAAATTGGGTTACACACCTCAGCAGTAAAGAACTGATAATATTCCCATTTTACAAACATTAGGACATGAAAACAGTTATCTACACGCACACCCACAAAGAACTCCACAGTGTAACACAGAGCCTGGAGCCAAGAGACTACAAGAACAAGACAACTCTGTGTTGCAAAAGAATAAAAGTCCAAAGCAGTGGCTCAGAACTGGAGTCCTGAGCACTTCTGTAGCTGCATCACTGCTTTTCTGTACAGACAGAGAGCACCTTAACTGAAATTCACTTCATTAAGAAAGAATAGCATTTTGTTGAAGATAGGGTAGCAGAAAAGGTCCAAAGTATTTTAAACATGCTCATCAGAGAAGCATGGGAAAGATTTGCCCTCCTATTCATACCTTTTGGTTTTGCAATCTATAATTAACTCTTCCCCCTCCCCCACCACTTATTAGTTTTTTACTTTAAAAAAGCAGAGCTTGCCAAATCCAGCAATAGATTTTGATCCTGCAACTTGTCCTATCCTACACAAGTGAGGACTTAAGTCACAGATCACAACAGGTTTAATAGGATTTCAACCCCACAGTGCCAAGAAAGTGAAACTGTGAAGAGGCTCTGCATTTATCCTAATACTTTAGAACACAGTGGAAGGAAAACAAGTTCCTGAAAAGCTCCCATGGTCCTGACTTTCCTTGTAAAAGAGCCTGTACAGAGCTTAACCTTTATCCACACCCCACAATATAGAGGATCCCCAGCAAAATGGAAAGTCTAGAGATATATCTTTCCTAACTTTTTTAGATTTAAAAATAAAGTAATAAAAAAAAAATCAAAAACATCAACCAAAATATACTTTCTGAGCTTGCTAAAACAAAGCAGATAATTGAGTAGTCCAACTTTTTCTTTTGTTTTGCCGTTCCAAATACATGTTCCCCTTTTATCCATCATTGCAAAGAAGGAAGATTAAAACAGAGTCCTTTGTTTACTTACTCAAAGCAGAGAAAATGTTAATATTTAATTCAAGTGTCATTCTAGAAGCTGATACTAATTGAAGTTATATCTCATGATGTAACAGCATTCCACTGGTGGGCTCTTCATCAAGCAAAACACAGCAATGTCTTACATACAAAATAAACCAGCTGCTGAAATACAATGTCCAAAGGCTGAATTTTCTCCATGACTAATCCAAGTGCCATCAAAATGCCAAGCAGTTGAGCAGGTCCATTTCATAACACAAATACACAAATTATGTATAGAAAACTGTACTCGAGTTTAGCATTTTTGCCCAGCATTCCATCCAAAAGTTTTTCCCAAAAACTCTATTTCTTTAATCCAGGACTCCAAACTGAACACAACTCTGTGTTTTTTTATTAACCTGAACGAACCTATTTGTGCAATCTGTGAGAATAATTAAGGGGATTGTCCAATCTGGTCCTTTCTTCAGCTTTGTTCTACTCCACATTTCTTATGCAAGATATCTAGTTATTAAACTTCTCTCCAGAACAGCTTACTCTGTGCATGGTTTTATTGAGATGCAGCAGAACCATCACAGTTAATATACTGCCAACAGCACTAATGATAAGGACAGTGCCATAGCTCTTCTATACCGAGCTAAATCAACCCAGGACACTTCTGAAAAAGCTAAATCAACTTCAGGACACTTCCATTAGGAAAAATAATTCCCCAGTGTAAGTGTAGAAAACTGCCTGAGACCAACCAATTTTTGTGCCCAAAGCACCTCAGTGAGGAACCTACAGTTCCTACTGCGATAAAGAGCTGTAAACGAGACCTCCTCCCCTGGTCAACCAGCCCAGTGCCTCAGAAATAGCCAAGGCAAAAGAATTTCCAGTTTGCTGAGGCATCTTTTGCCCTTCCAAACACTTTACATGGAGCAGCACTTCACCTCTTACCCGCTTGGCTTCAGCTACAGAAACATGTCAGGAACCCCAGTGCGAGAAAACAGGCTGGATCTAAAAGGTGGGTACTTCAGATCTACTGGCCTCGATCTAATATGTTTACAAGTTACCAAAGCATGCAGAATTTATGCATGCAAAGAGAACTCTATGAAAGGTGGGTTTGTGGATTGTTTTCCCCCCCACGTAGGTATTTAAACCTATTTAAAAGCTGTCACCTGGAAACTTGACCAAGCCAAGGCTGGGGTAAGTTATCCCAATTCAAATTACCATGAAAATCAACACATTTTTTTAGAATACCTGCCTCCTATTATGTTAGTTTGGGGGGAGGAGAACAAGATAGTAAAAGAAAAATGAGAATAAACAACAACGGAAATCCAATGTCAGTTCAGGTCACATTAACAACAGAGAATGACAACAGATGCACTGTGGCTGTCCCCTGCTATAGGTGGTGATGATGTAGACATATTTTCTATCATGCCAGAGAGAACCAGGCAGAGTTGTAGCTTCAAGACTGTAAAATACTAAAGCCTTCACTTTTCTGAGTAATGTTAACCTACACAGTCCAGATGCAACTTCTGAATATAAGTTGTCTTGGTCTCACCTAAAACACCCTGCTTATCCCTTTTCCCCCCTTCAAGTCTAGGATTATGAAACATAAGGACCTTGGCAGAATTTCGATTGCCTGAGTGAAGGATAAATTCAAGAACTGTGATGCTGCATTAACGGTGCAAGGATAGAAATTAGTCAGCATATTAAATCCATAAAAGCTTAGCATGCAGCACAGGTCATTAAAAGCCACTGGCAGAGTTCTAAGTTAGTAAATTTACTGACACCAACAATACTTAGAGAGTAGGAGAACAGTACTTCGAATCTAGATAAAAGATGACCTACCAAGCTGCTGCAGAATGCTTTACACAGGCTCTGTGATGGATTCTTGCGTGTTCTGTAAGCACAGGGCACTAAAAACTTCTGTTTCACTAACAAACTTATGAAAACATTTTGTATTTTTTCCAGCATTGGGAACAAAAACAAACAAACAACAACAAAAAAGGGGGGGGGGCAAAAATTTTTGCACAAGAACTAGAGAATTTGTAATAGAGATCACCTTTATACAAGTTTACATGAAAACCTTAAGTTCATAATACCATGAACAGAGACAGCTTCCCATTAAATTCACAAAGGTTAAGCTTGGAAGGACAGAAGGAAGAAAACCAAAAACTAAATATATATTATTAGGAGAGTTTGAAAAACAACTCTTTGGCAGTGACAAAGAGAAGTATGCACTCTGACAGAGCTCCTAAACAAATGCCTTCAGGTACTGGCATTTACCTAAAACATGATCTTGTGTAATCTAAAAGCTTACATATGCTAGAGATATGATTAACACATCACAACACCCCTTTGCCTTGTTTAGTCATCTGGGACATTTTAGGCATTTCCAACTTGACATTTATTCTGATTTTAAAGCCACGAAACAGAGACCATATCTGCCTTCATTCTGTATAGCAAGCAGAGAGCAATCTTAAATAAGTCCTAGAAACAAAAAGCAAAAATAGAGCTCTATATCAAAATACATTATTTGGAATAGTTTGCCTCTGCCAACATGACAGATTAGATTTATGTTCTCACCTCATTTTATAAACAATTTTGGTTGTTTATGGTATACATACGTAGTTTTAGTGAGGTAGAGTGGGCATTACTGGAGTTAGCTTTTTATTTGTAGTAATAATCTAAATCAAATAAATGCCTCAAATTGAATATTTGTGTCCAAAGCTCCATATTGGGGGGGGGGGGGGGGAAGGCAACTTCACTGACAACTAAGTCCCATTCTCTCCAGCTTTCAAGTCTATATCCCTATATCCTGAGATAATTGGGATTGTTCAGCCTAGAAAAAAGATGTCTTCAGGGTGACCTAATTGTGGCCTTCCAGTGTCTAAAGGGAGCCTACAGGAAAGATGGAGAGAGACTATTTACAAAGGCCTGGAATGACAGGACAAGGGGGAATGGCTTCAAACTGAAAGAGGGTGGGTATAGATTAGATATTAGGAAAAAGTTCTTTACTGTGAGGCACTGACACAGGTTGCCCAAAGAAGCTGTGGCTCTCTCATCTCTACAAATGTTTAAGGCCAGGTTGGTTGGAGCAACCTAGACAATCTTTAAGGTCCCTTCCAATCCAGGCCATTCTACGATACAAATTTGGAAGAATCACTTCTCTCTCCCCTTAAGGCCTTCCCCATTTTTCTATTTATTAATCTATTTTTTCCCTTTTGGTTTGTATTCTTGAACTTCCTTTTCTCACAGCAAAGTCCATGAAGTGGCTGTTTATTGCCACTGCTGCCTGCCCTGCTGCTCCTTACAACCCACACCAGGGCTGCCTTCTACTCCTACACTTGTGCATGTCTTATTCTTTTAAGTAGTAATTCCTGTTTCCAGAATAAAGACTAATGACAGGCATTACGAAAATTAGGAAGTAACTCAAAACATATTCATGATAGTGCTCCTTGACATACACTGAGGATTTGGCACAGTCCAAAGCCTCTCTGGCATTCTCTAGAAAACTGCACGTAAGGAAGACAGAAGAGAAGTGAGGAGAGCAGCTTCAAAGCTGGGAT